AATTGTTATCATTATTCTTAATTATAAACCAGCCTATTTTATTGTAGCCGATAGTACGCAGTCTCACAATACAATTCTGTAAAACATTTTTGTATAATTCTAATTAATTCTAATGTAATTTGTTTTTATACTTCAATAAAAACATTATAGATAATTCTGGCTGAATTAATTAGTCATTACGTCAATTTATATTTTACAGTTTACAACAACCATATATAGCTATGTAGCTCATTTATACCAGGCGATTTACCAAACTTATAATACACCTTATTTATTAAGAATAATTTTGCTATTTATGGGGTGGTACAAACTTATTTTTTCAAACGAAGACCAAATATTTTGTATCTACACTAAGTTTTCATAGGCGGCAGAAATGTTTTTTTTTTAAATGTTGACGTAGGTACTTATAGTATAAAATACAATTCTAACTTAAGTTTCTGAATTCCCAAAATGTGTGTGTGGGTACTAAGCTGGATAATAGTCCATAACATTACAATAAAATATATGGGTATAGAGTTAGGATATATATTAATATGTATAGTTTGTAAATATAATATATTCATAATTAATAGTATCGTTAAAAAGAAAGACATTTGTATGTTTCGAATGTTTCGATCATTAACTTCGAGGGAGGTTTCTAGAAATTGGAGCTAGTTGGTTACGTAGGAGAGCAAAACTTAAAATTATCAGTAATTTTTTAAATAATTGATAAAAACAAACAAATATGAAAGTTTTAATATTCTTGTCAAAATAATTGTTCAGTAACCTTGACTTACTAACAAATTAGACCGTCTTCATTCAGAATAATTTTCATTCATAAATGTATACGAACAACCCAAAAGTTTGCATTACATTTTTAATTTTATTATTATATAACATTTAATGCATGACTAATTAAAATAAATAATTATTATTTTCCAATTTTGCATTTTTTCTGTGTGAAATTTGTTTTACATTAATCTGTAAATCCGGTGTCAGAAGTCAAATGGGTATGTCATTTTGTAAATGAAAAAATTTGGATGAACGCTGATCTATATTCTGAGATCCCATGTAAATTATATTATGCATTTTACAAAAAATATGTTTATTGCATTTTAGAGTTAAGTAGTGACTTTTTTCGTATTCTGATATGATCACGTTGTGTTGAATTAAATATTTGCAGCACAACTATATACGTACCACACTACGACCAAGTCCAAGAATAATGCTTAGAAGATAATCGTATTTATAATTTATATATTATATATGCATTCAGACTAACGTACCGAAATGGGCAGACATAAACAATAAAATATGCAAATATCTATAATAATAATCATTTATGGTAAACATTCCATATTAACAAAATATAAATGGCAGTTGGTACATTACCTACGTAAAAACCGGCCGACCTATTTTTAAGGTGCGATGTAGTCGTGTTTGGAACAGCACTGAGATATAGCCAAGTATCCTAGTATACAATATACATAATACATATATACTACATAGCGACTATCCAGCGTGATATTTAACTGAATCCTTAAGACTTAAGTTGTAATATTTTATGGGCAGGACTCGAGTGAAGTACTTTTTAAATGTATTCATAATAATCTAAACTCGGAATAAACTATACACGAACATTTTATAGTACTTATAATCGTAAAAATTACATTTCATAATCATACTTATCCTATGGGACATTTTCACCAATTTAGGATTATTATCGTCCGTTGATATTAAAATATAAATTATAGCCCTAATTTACTTTATTATCCAACATTTTGAAATACTGCGGCAAAGTAAATATAATAATATGTTTATGGTGATAGCAACTTTCTTGGTTCTGTCTTGTCTGAAATATATTCGAAACCATTGCAATACGTTCTACGTATATAATGCGAAAATAGCTGGCACACGACGGCTTGGATCTATTGATTTATAGAACCATAATTATTTAATTGGTTCTCGGGTCACTGCGGACACTTTTCAACTTTCAAACTTAAACCCTTCAAACTCTAAATTTTTTTATTTTCAGTTGTATATAATTTTATAATTTTTAATCATTAAAACAAAATAATAATGGGATTAGCAAAATAACTACTATAAGTACCTATAATATAATAATATACTACCTATAGGATATAGGTAATAAGCTATACATTCCATAGGACAAAGGATACATATTATTATAATACATAGTCGCTTCCACAAAAATAATTTTTAAATATCCTTCAGCTATGGAAGAAGCACTTATGGAACATAACACTCGTTCAATTCACAAATTTTTCAAAACCATCGGTATTGCTGAAAAAATTTAAAATATAAGATAACTAACAACTATGTTAACATGTAAATAACTTTAGAAAATATGCATATATATATATACATATATATACATAACCATAAATTAAACATTGTAATTTAGCTAAGCTATTAATGGTAATGTAAATTAACAGCCTTTATAATCAATAAAAAAATCCATTGATTTGTAATTATACATTTTTGAAACAAATCTATTACAATCTATTTAAAGAGTTAATATAAAATACTTTAACTCCACTTAAATAACTCAAAAATATCTAATTTCGATTAGTAATATTGAATATGTTGATATGCTAATTTCCAAACTTTATCATATTGTAACACTTTATCAATAAATTATAAATTTACTATAAAATATAAAATTATTAATTAGTATTTTTGTTGCGTTTGAAGATTTTTTTTTTTGATTATTGAAATTTAATTTTTATATGTGCTTAAAAATATTTTATAATAGAAAGAGAAACAATATTCCCCTTCCCATATCGTCACAATGATGAAACGGGATAAACGAAATGGTAAATTTATCCATTAGTCATAACTCATTAGTAATTTCGTAATTTGCGCCATATTTACGACTATTTAGTTATCAAAACATAGTCTCTTACAGTTTTTAAACATATTATTGGATAGGATTATAAGATAAACATCGATAAATAGTGTTATAGATGTTGGTCGATTCCTGTTACTTTAGACACTCGAAGACTGATATATAATAGCAAATTATAATACTGAAAGCTGATTAACTGACGGAATATTTGTTTATAATTTCTACCCCTCAATACATTTAAGCGGACATTTTGTATAATTACTGAGTTCAAAAATTAAAGTGAATTGACTTCTTATAATGTTTAAAACTACGATTTTTATTTGGAGCATCTCATATAGGCTTTTGCTATCTTTTAATTTTAAAACCAGTTATGAGTATTTTAAGATGTATAAGCAATTTACAATTTTAAAACACTTTTAACTCGCTTTAAAACGAAAAAATAATACAAATTCTATGATAGATAATAATCTTACCTTAATCACATTTAACAATATTATGACAATTATAAGATATGATTTACAACCAGGGGAGGTAAGACCTGTCGGTGGCAAATTTTCCGAAATTCTAAAAAGTTTTAAAATTGTATTTAATATTTTAGTTGGTTTCTTAGTTAAAATACTTTTCCTCTAATCTACTGCCCGATATCTATTGGGGGGACAACTTTCTTTTTATCTGAAAGATGGGAACTATTTCCAGGTCGGATCAAAGCTCAAATTTTCAATTTACTTTACACTATATAAGAAATGCTAGAAAAATTTGAACAACGAATATTGTGTATTATTCAATAGCATATACTTTTGCTTCTATAATTTTGAAAGTCGGTCTATAACAAACCTACAATATGTTTTCTTTTCTTAAATAAAACAAAAATTAGCGAAATCCTACTATTTTACAGGGTGTGAGAGATTTTCCTGCAAGACATGTTTTTGTATATTTAAAACGCACCGGCTCCGACGCATTTCAGTTCCCTCGCCGACTTCACTATTCTCCCTCTCCTATTCCGACTGGTATGTACAGTAAATATCAGATATTTGAAAATATTTTCTTTAGCTATAATTAAGAAATTAAAAATCAGATTTTTAATAAATGTACTGTTAACGTGGAAAATGGGGGTGAGCAAAAAAAACACCTCATCGTATATTATACGAACACGCCGGGTCGCGCCATGGCCCGTTGGTGGTACAACCGTACACACGCGGAATGTGAAGAACCTGCATAATATTATTATTATCGTTGTAATTCGTCGACGACTTTGTTTCTTTTCGCGGGAAAACAATTAAATGTAGAAAAAGAAAAAAAACAATAAACTCGAAGAACGGTGCCCGCCGAAGGGTTGCAGGAATGGAAGAGGAAAGAGCGACACGCCTCTAGCCCAGGTATTCTCCAGGTCGGCCGGGCCGGTCTCGTCGGCATTGGCCTCGCCGCGGTGCGATAATACGCACCGCGGGCGGGCGCGGGACCCCGTTTCGTATTATCGCGATATTAATTCGATTCCCAGCTTGTGGTATTCTCCGCCGACAAAACGCGTACCGCACGCGACTCGTTCCGTACAATATTATTTAGCGGCAAGACGGTCATTACACGGGTGTTAATATAAAGAACGATATTATTATTACTATTATTGTGGGTCCGGTCGGAAAAGATACGGTGGAGAAAATCCGCGCAGAGGAGATGACGTGAGCGACCGCCGCCTGGCTCTGCCCGGTAGCATCTCGCTGGAGGCGGCGGAAGGTACGACGAGCGCAATACACCTATGTGCCGACCGCGAAGAGGGCACGGCGGCGGACCATCTGCACGACGACGACGACGACGACGATGTCCACCGCCGCCGCCGCCGCCGCCGCCGTCTACCGTAGCGTCTCTCGACGACCGCGTGTACGACAGCGGCGGTGGCGGTGGCGGCGGCGGCGGTCGCCGCGATGCGGTCGAGGTCACATTTTTGTCTTTGGCCGTCGTCGACGCCGCGTCGGCGGCCGGTTTCGTGCCATCCTCCCCTCCACCTCAGACACGGCGGCGTACCGTACCACTGCCACCGACGCCGACGGCAGCGCTCTCTCCGACGGTACGGAGAAAAATATAAATAATAATAATAATAAATGCTTGTACGACGTCCACGTTATCACGTGTCCGCCGCGCCGCACCGACGGCTACGACCACGACTACGACCGCCGCCGACCAGGATTACTCGGCTAGTGCTCAGTACGCAAACGGCCGCCGCCGCAGATTGTCGTGTTTGTCGTGTCGAACGACGTTCGCACCGTGTCTGCTCCTCATTTGCGTACACGATATAAATAATAATATTTTTCGAAAAACTCGCGATTCGGAATTTTTTTTTTTGCTCGCTACCACATACCATTCCCAAACCGACGCAGACGATTTTCGACCATGCGGCCGATCTCCCGCCGTTGACCGCGGCGCGACTGAACTTTACCGCCCCCCACAACCAACCCCTCCAAGATCCGTATACCATTTACCTCAATCGCACCGTTTTGAAAATATCATAGTATAATATTATTATATTCGATTCCTGTTCGTTTTTTAGTATTTTCGATTTTAAATTCGCGCACATCACACGGCCAACGAAAAGATGACCGCCACCAACGGATTCATCATCGGCGATGGTTCTTGGAATCTGCAGATCTACGTGTCCGATCTGCAGGTGGAACGGACGCTGCGGGTTAAGGGCGATCTCCACATCGGAGGGGTCATGCTCAGACTCGTCGAAGATTTGGGTAAGTCGATGGAATCTTATCTTTACGACTCAATATATAATATAATATACTCATACCTACTTGAAACCTCACATTACAAAAACTCTCACTTTACGTGAACCCGGTTACTGTACCTATGTATACCATATTTGGTAGTAGGTAGGTAGGTACAAGTAGTTGGTATTGCATTTTTTTTTTCCAATAACAATAAGTATCGTTTTCAATGTTTCATATACGTTTACCGTTAACTGACGATAAACATGAATTTAAATAAGTTAATTGTTTATCAACGTGAGTCGTTACTAATAACCCGAAATCGTCTGATCGTCAATATAGTTTGATAGGTACTACCTATACATCGAATAAAAATATATAGGATTGGAATTAGGTCGACTATTTATATTTGGAATAGATCCGTTTTAAAACCATGCATCTTAATTAAAATAGGTATACATTGTAGGCCATATTATATTTTTTAATTATTCCTTAAAATTAAAAATACCTATTAGATTAGCTTTTCTTTAAAATATCGAAATCTTCTCGCTTAAGTTTATGGCACAATAACTTTAATGATACATTTAGAACGATTAATAAACAAAATAAAATGTTTTGTTTTGTTTATTTGGTTTAAAAAAAAAGTTGAACGAGACATGTGGCGCGCAATGTAAATATAATATACCTGTTGGCTGTGATGTTAAATTTAATCAATATCATTTCTCTCGATCTACTATTTATTTTCGCAACTATACCAAACTAATGTTAAAAGTACTAATGATTTCAGTTAACTCTTAAAAATATATTAACTACTAAACTTTTAAATTTAAATTTTTGATTATTGAATAAAAACAGAGTTCAATTATTCTTTGAATTTAAAATTATGTTAATAAAGTCACATCATTAATTAGATAGATACACAAATAAAATTATCAGATTTTTTTTGGTTAAATCTACCAGATTCGACGCTGGTTTAATACCTAATTGATAATATTATAACAATTCACTAGAATATTCTAATATCATTTTCTATGCAAATATATGTATATTAAATATATCAATTTTTTTCAAAAATACATACATATTGTTTATATTAATCCCAAAATAAATATAAAATTTCTACAATAGTCGGACCTTGTTTTACGACTCCGTTTTAGTAAATGTTTTACTGCATTGCATGGTTCTATGTTTGAGATTTATGTTCGTTTTATTGTAAATCTACCAATCACTATACACTATACAGCCTATAACATATTATGAAACAACTTCGTGAAAACAAGAAAAAACAATACATTTGTTTTTATTAATTACCATTTACCAATGTTTTAAATATTAATATTTGTCATTAAACACGGTTTAGTATAATAACTCATACGTTTACCAATATAACCATTAGTTAAGTTATTACTTCGTAGTTATTACTTACTAGTTATTACCTATTAGCTATTACATAATTTATATTATGATTGTTCTACTCCGAAGTTTTTTGTTTTGTGTATTATCACTAATTATCAGATAAAATATAAGGATACTTGGAAATACACACTAGTGTACATGTTTACTTTTCTACGAACATCGATAATAATACAACTATAATAATATTATTATAGTTGCCACCGTTCATGATATTATGAGTTATAAAAGTTATTGCAAGTTAGTGAGTTACTAAACTGAATGTGTGGCAGATTTGTATTTGAAGACAGTGTTCAATAATATTTCATTTTTTTATTATGCACTACCTATTCAATTTTTATTTATTTTTATAAGAATATTTGTTTTATTTGTTCCCCTTACTTACATATTTGTATGTTTATCTTTGGTTTCCGTTGTACCTACTCTTGAATTATTATTATTGTTGAGCCACTCGATTAGTAACCGATTGTCATCTGCCATAACTTGAATCGAATTTGGTATGCTGGTCTAGTCGTTAATTTGCTTTTTTGGAATTATGTTTGAATCAACATAAATTCGACTTAATGTACTGTGCATTTAAAAAAAACAAATTCGAATACAATAGACTCATAAACTCGTAGTATACACATGTATATAATTTAGCTTATAAGTCTTAAAATGTTTTGACGATGCATGTTTGAAAAAAAAACAATAAATAATTATATGAACACTACCTGTAAGTTGTTCTTATAATAATATTGTACTTTATATGCCAGCAGTAGTTTATTATTGTCTACTACTATTGTAGTGATGTGCAAGTTTGTTTTTGTATTTATGGTAAGTTAATTTTAATTTGTTATTATTGCATACTATTTTACTTTATAATTTTTCTCTACAAACCAAAATGTTAATTTTAAAAATAAATTAAAATTGTCTACTATTTCATTATTGACTTAAATAATTTTGGCGTATCTATGAGCAACTTGGATAAGCCTCAACTCTATTAATTTTTTTTATCTCAATTTAACACATCACAAATTAGAGACAACATGTACCTGAAATAAGTACCTAAATAGAGGTTAGACCTGTGCTTGAAACGAAAGAACGGATTACAAGATATCTTTCTACAAAACATTACAAGCACTTGTTTGCATTAATGCCTTATCTAGACTGTCCGAACAATGTATATATTATATTTTCTAACTATATGAGTATGTACGTTCAAAGTCAAGTTGTTTATTCGTTTTATGACAGAATGTTTAAAAAAAACAACAGAAAGAATGCGGAGGGAAAATACGTAGAATTATGTTAACGGCAAAATTGATTGTAGACTGAAAAAAAATATGCAAAAATTTAAATCTGCATGGTCAGCTATCGCCTTGTTATTATTTTTTTTTTTTACATACCGAAAGCCTGCGTGTACCGATACGTGTTTATTTTCATTATGATAAATTTACGACTTCTTGGTCACTGCAAGCACGCACCTAAACGAGAATATATACTGTTATATAGTTCCCCGCGGTAATAACGATATTATATTGTTAACAAGATATTTTTTCGTTGTTCTTTCGTTTTATGATCCACTGCCGTCAGTGTCAACTCTTGACGATGACAACACGATTTTCTCACAGTAATTATACTGTTTTTCCAATCTCGTATCATCTTGTGCTTTACAGTACAATAATTAAAGTAAACACGGCACTAGCTGTAGGAGGAATTTATTGTTTGTTTCTCGTATACGGGAAATGAACTAACCAAACATCATAAAAATAAAAACAAATTTATACTACTAGTTACAATATACTTTAGTCACTATACCGTTAACCGTGTTTGGATTGCTTAGAGCACATATTTGGTCGATTGCCGTAAAAATGTGTCTATCCCCTAAAACAGAAATAGCATCTATGCATGTTAAAGTTTTTCTTAGTCAAGCATCATACATGTGTTTATTATATACATTATACATATTACATATGCCATTTCACATCGCCACCTTCGACCTGCACTACCGTGGGTCTTTTTAAAACTATTTTGTTATGAATTTTTGAAAATTCAGTTTTTGTACTTTAACTTAAAATTTTCTATGAGTATATTATCACACTAAGACCAATTAATATACTATATTTTGGTTTTGTAGTATTTCCGTAGTTTTAGTTTATTCGTGGAACGGATAAAACTCACAAAGTGCTGTATACTCATAAAATATTCATATTGCTTTGACACAATATGTCACGTAGTACATGATTATTTGTATTCAACTTTAATAGTTTTTACATTTTATTATTTTTATGTTTAATTAATTATTCAGGTTTATATAAAACGTGTGTACCTATACCTAATAATACTACTAAATAATGAGTACCTAGTTGCTATGATTTGTTTTTTTTTTAGCTTAATTTAGCTTACTACCTATACTTGAAACATATAACTTATTATGTTTGACTTAACTTTATTTTTACAGTTTTATAATGATTTATGGTGTGTAGGTGTCTACATGCATAATTATATCGCTCTTATAATATTTAATGCAATGATTGTTTATTTAATATTGTGTACTCGTATTTTTAAATGTTTAATCGCTATTACTATTTCCTATAGTCTATAGGTCCATTATGATAAAATAATAACGTTTCGAAACCCATAATATATTATCAACGTGGTGCACCGTGTATAAATTATGCGACTACTTATATCGTCTTCCCTTTTCCCCCCATTTTTATGCACCTTTATAACAATGTATCAAACGTGTAAGGTCCAAACACAACAGATGTTTCTTATTGTCCAAAGTATATTCATTTCTTATTGAATGGGATACTAATTTGTTTTTTTTTCGTTAATAGGCAGATATACCTAATTGGTATGTTTGTATAATACAGCTTATACAACTATATTATATGGGTACAAAGTGCTATAATAATTTTCAATATTTATTTATGGATGGAAAAAAATGGTAGGTAAAGATTTTTGTAATTACGTCTGAAATTGTAATAGACTTTGAATAAAATATCAAAAAATAATAATTATCTAAAACAGTACATTATAATATGATTAATGTTGTGATACTTTCATAACGGTTCAAAATTGAGATATCATATAAAAAGAAATTGCTTGTATTAATTGTATAATATAAAGATGAACAAAGACGTCGTTTGTTTTATTAATTATTATGAAATTCTCTGAGATGTTATGACTATTTTGTAGAATACATATTTTATATAGTATCAGGAATTGGGAGTTCGGACTCAATAATTTCATCAGACATTACAGTTTTAACTAAAGATTTTATTTTACTTTATACTACTCTAAAAACGAAGTTATCACGGGACCATCTCATGTCACGTGTCCGTGTGCGGGAGTCTGTGGGAAGTTATCTTTGAACAAGGATTGATTTTAAGTGGCGCCCCGCGCCGGGCGCCGGTTTAATGCGTTTCCACTATATTTTTTTTCTTTACTCCTCAAGGGTGTTTTATCACTCAAACGACCCTCTTCATGTTAGTGCCCAAACACGGAAACTAATGCCGTAAAAAATAAAAATCAGACATAATTTTCGTTTTTATTTTTACTCTCCCCTCGATGTACATTGTTGTGAACGGGCACTTTTACACAATTCAATACTAAATTCATATAATAACACT